TTTTGGAGAAAAATCAAAACTACAAGTTAACAACATCTTTTCATTGAACTTCCTGAAGGAAAAAGTTAGAGATGATAGACTGGGAGAAATCAAGATTTGTTTATAAAGAAAAACAATGCTGTAGTACAACTGCAAGTAATCAATATTCTGCTGCTCTTCATAAACAAACTACAAACTGATAATTTTAAAATTGTTTTTTCCCATCCTTTAATGTTTATTTACTTACTGCATTTTACACAGCATGAACAAGTAAGTTAAGGGGCCATTTCTGTTTACTTTCTGGTCATCTACATAAAAATGTTTTCAGCAATTAAAAAAAAAATAGAGTTTGTATGACTTCACAAAAAGAATCCACAAAATTTTAATTTTGTGCTTAAATGGTCTGAGAGCATCTAAAAAAAATAAATAAATAACCCAAACAAACAAAAAACAGACCCAAATTGGTGTAATGTGGAAACATGGATCTTAGTTTCAGTATTTCTTTGCAGACAGATTTAGTTATACTCTTGGCCTTCACAACATCCCCAGCCAATGAGTTGCACAGGTTGCCTGTGCTTTGTGTGAAGAACTACTTCCTTATGTTTGTTTTAAACCTACTAACTATTAATTTAATCAGGTAACTCCCAATTCTTGTGTTATGTGAAGGGGTAAATAATTCCCTATTCACTTTCTCCATATCTTTTGTGATTTTATAGACCTTTATCATATCCCTCTAGTCATCTCTTTTCTAAGCTGAACAGTCCCAGCCTTTTTAATCTCTCCTCATATGGAAACTGTTCCATATCGCTAATCATTTTTGTTGCCCTGCTCAGTATCTTTTCCAATTCTAATATATCTTTTCTGAGATGGGGCAACCAGAACCACACACAGCATTCAAGGTGTAGGCATACCATGGATTTATATAATGGCATTATGATTTTTCCTTTCTATCCTTTTCCTAATGGTTCCTGACACTAAGCGTTTTGGACAGCTGCTTCACACTGAACAGATGTTTTCAGAGAATTATCCTCGATGACTCGAAGCTCTCTTTCTTGAGTGGTAAAACTAATTTAGAACCCATCATTTGTATGTATAGTTGGGATTATTTTTTCCAATGTACATTACGTTGCACTTATCAACAGTGAGTTTCATCTGCCATTTTGTTTCCCAGTCACCAACTTTTGTGAGAGCCCTTTGTAACTTTTTGCAGTCAGTTTTGAACGTAACTATCTTAAATAATTTTGTATCATCTACAAATTTTGCCACGTCACTGTTCACCCTCTTTTCCAGATCATTTATAAATATGTTGAACAGCATAGGTCCCAATACAGGTCTGGCCAGACACTGTTATTTACATCTTTCCATTGTGAAATTGACCATTTACTCCTACTCTCTGTTTCCTACATTTTAACCAGTTAGTGATCCATGAGAGGACATTCCCTCTTATCAGCAAATTGACAAATTGAAATTACTGTAAGAAAGAAGCCCTATAAAACTGATTGTACTTTTCTATAACCAGTAACAAGTAGCATCTAAACTGTTATCTATTAAACCCATGAAAGAAACAGTGAACTACTAAATGTTAGTTCATTTAGTATCTCCATAGCCTAAGACTTCCTTATATAGTGGGTTGGTTCCACTTTCTAGAAACTAATAGCCATAGGGATTTAATAATTCATTTTCTTTTTTAAAAAAAATCACATGTTAAATGTTCCCTATACACCTGCAAATGCAGGTGTGACCTTGTGACATTTTCTCAAGGTGTCCAGGATTGGGAGTCATGTTGTTACCTACCTGCCTCCAGTGAGAGTGAGACTTCATGGTGCTTAACAGCTCCCTACAACACCTGCCTGTAAGCTATCCAAAGAATCTTCTCAGGGCATTGCCAGCTTTGCAGGTTAACTGTACGTGCACCTTAGTCTCCAAGCCCCTTTGAAGCGTTCCTCTGTGATATCCAACCCCTGTCACTAGTTACTCACAGAAATACTAGGTTTGCTATCCTCCTGGGGCGCAGTGCACACACTAGCTTGTTTGATTCAGTTTAGGATCAATTCCTATATAACATCACAGCACTGACAGATATTTATAGTGAAAACAATCATAAGCTTATTATCAAAGCCTAAGATTTAAGAGATAGCAAGTAAGGATAATAATGCAAACAGAAAGGTTACATATAAAACAAAATTATAACATGCCTCCTAAAGCCTAAACTGAACTTAACAAGCTAAAACATAGACTACTTTAGACAATCTCACCTAAAACAATCTCCCAGCATCTCCAACCAACATGGGTGGATCTCTCTTTCATGAATGCAAAAGTGCGGTCCTTTTGCTTCCTTCCTGAAAGAAAGTAGTATCGTTTTAGAGGGTCCTGTGGCACCTTTAAGACTAACAGAAGTATTGGGAGCATAAGCTTTCGTGGGTAAGAACCTCACTTCTTCAGATGCAAGTAATGGAAAACCCACGAAAGCTTATGCTCCCAATACTTCTGTTAGTCTTAAAGGTGCCACAGGACCCTCTGTTGCTTTTTACAGATTCAGACTAACACGGCTACCCCTCTGATACTTAGTATCGTTTTGTTTCTCCTTATATCTCCCAAAACTCATTGATGGTTCCCAAAGTCTGGATCAGCGCCCCCCACCCCCGAGGTTTATTCTCTGGTGTGCTGACTTCATGTTGACTTTGCATCTTCATACTGACTTTGTACGCAAATGTGGTTCCCATTCTGTTGGCTCACAATCCTTAATTTACATGGGGGGAGGGATAGCTCAGTGGTTTGAGCATTGGCCTGCTAAACCCAGGGTTGTGAGTTCAATCCTTGAGGGTGCCACTTAGGGATCTGGGGCAAAATCAGTACTTGGTCCTGCTAGTGAAGGCAGGGGGCTGGACTCGATGACCTTTCAAGGTCCCTTCCAGTTCTAGGAGATGGGATATCTCCATTAATTTATTTAATTTATTTATTTAATTTATGTGAACCAAGGCAGACAGGTGAATATACATCCTTTGTCTGGCAGAAATCTGTCTGTCAACCCTGCCTTGATTCAGACTTTAGGAACATATTTTCATCATATACGTATAACTTTTTACATAGTATCTGTACATATATTTCACAACAATATTAATGATCAGCATGATCCTGGCTTCCTTTAAGATCAACATTACATCATTTATAGATAAGTACCATGAAAGCGAGGTGCTAGGGATAGTGAGTTTCTCAGACCTATTAGGAGTTGCTGTTACAGAACAATTTGGAACTGACGGGTTTGTCGGGGTCACAGAGCGAAATGCATATGCTAGAATATTTAGCTATTGCTTCTGTCATTGAAATGCATCATATATGTTTAACCATTACTTTATAAATATATCAGGTCCACACTAGCTATCTTAACTGAACTAACATAACATGCAGCTCTGTAAATGTAAAGTTTCTAGAAGCCTTATACAAGTTCCACAAATACTATAAAATGCAGAAGAGAGAGTAGCTTTCAGTAGGTGATGTAGATATTATATAGATATAGCATTTACATGGACACTTTTGTCAGAATTATGTTGATTTATAATTAGGATTTATTAGATACAGAGGACGAATCCCTGATCCTGCAATTCAGCAGTGCTCCACTGAATTCAATATAAACATGTGCTTAGTTTTATTCATGTGTAGTCCCACTGAAGTCAAGCCTAAGGATGGTATTGCTACTAACCTTACAAATATGGTGGATTACAGGTACTTCCTACTTTTTGTAAATGTTGTTGGTTAAGAACTAGGTTAATAGATTAGCCTGACCGCATACCAATGTGTTTAATTTTAAACAGTATTTTGTACTTATTTTAAATTATTGAAATATAAAAAATGTACAACAAACAAAAGCAGTCCTACACATAAGTTGCTCAACTTCATAGTTCAAAAGTGATACCATGTGCAGAAGTGATACCATGTGCAGAAGTGATACGGTAACTAAAGGATCTCTGTTTGCTTTCATCTGCTACAGTAGTTCTCAATCTTTTCCAACAACTGTACTACAGCAGTTTCCCAGACTAAGACCTCAGCTACAACAGCAAATTCATGACATCTCCCATATGATTTTGCATTCTGAATCTAATTAGGTATTTCTAAAACACCAATCACTATGGTAGCTAAGAGGTGTGCTTGTTCTCCAAACTGCATCGAGTTAATGTTTTTCCAAATGCGAGCCTTACAGCCCCTCAACTCCAGACATTAGGTCATACTGGGCCACTACCACTGCCCACTTCCCAATTAAGTACCACACACAATGGAGCTCGAGCTGCTCCATCAAACCGATCTCAGCATCATCCTTAGGCTGCATTACACCTGGGTCCGAGCCAGTGGCGGTGCCAACCCCCGCCCACCTCCCATGCACTGACCCGGGCGCTGCAGC